ATGACTATTTCTTTGGCTGTGCAGAAGCTTTGTAGTTTGATCATTGATTTTCTTTTTATTATTGATTTGTAGGAGTTAGTTATGCAAACTGGGCACACATCTTCAGACAGATATTTGTAGTACAAATATTTTCTCTAGTCTATGGCTTGCCTTTTATTTTTTCTTTTATTATATTTTAATTCACCTATTTGCACACTGAACTTGCCTTTTCTTAATAATGTCTTTTAAAGAACAAAAGTTTTGAATTTGTTTTTGTGTAGTTCACCTTTTTTTCTTTCATAGGTAATACTTTGTTTCTTCTCTAAAAATTTTTTTTCCTATCCCTATAAAGATTAGAGATATAGTCTCTTGTGTTTTTGTTCGTTTTTTTGTTTTTGAGACAGAGTCTCAACCTGTCACCCAGAGTGGCGTACAATGGCACAATCATAGCTCACTGCAGTCTCAAACTTCTGGGCTCAAACAATTCTCCTACCTCAGCTTCCTAAGTAGCTGGGACTACAGGTGCACACCACCACACCTGGCTAATTTAAAATTTTTTTTTGTAGAAATGGGGTCTTGCTATATTGCCCAGGCTGGTCTCTAACTCCTGGCCTCAAGCAATTCTCCCACCTCAGCTTCCCAAAATACTGGGATTACAGATTGACATCTGTAGAGCCACCCAGCCTCTCCTGTGTTTTTCTCTAAGAGGTTCATAATTTTATGTTTTATGGTAAGCCCATGCTCCATCTTGAATTTTTGTGTAAGGTATATGCTGGGGAAAAGTTTCCTTTTCTCCTCATATATTTAATAATTGTTATTCCATTTCCATTTATGGAAAGACTTTCCTTTTTTCATTTTGTTGTTTTGGTGCCTTCGTTGAAGATCAAATAACTATATATGCATTAGTCTATTTCTGAAATTGCTATTCTATTTTATTCATCTATTTACCTATCCTAGTAACATATTACTGCAACTTTATATTAGGTTATGTAATAAGGAAGTGTAAGTCCTTCAACTTCTTAGTCTTCATCAAAATTGTTTAGCTATTTTAGACTTTTACATTTTCTCATATTTTAGAATCAGCTTTTCGACTTCTACAAAGAAGCCTCTTATAATTTTTGATAAATATTATGCTAAATATATTAATCATTTTTGGAAGAATTGACTTCTTAGCAATATTGAGTCATTCAACCCGCTAACATGATATATATCTCCATTTATATAAGCCTTTAAATTTTTCTCTTAACATTTTGTGGTTTTTTTCAGTTTAGAGGTTTTGCATGCATTTAATTAAATCAATTCCCAAATATTTCATATTTTATGCTGTTATAAATAACATTGTTTTTAAAATTTCATTTTAAAATTGTTTGTAGTTTGCATACAGAAATAGAATTGACCCTACCACTATGATAAAATCATTTATTATTTCTAGAAGCTTTTTGTAGATCCTTTAAGGTTTTACTTTTTTTTTTTTTGAGACAGAGTCTTGCTCTGTTGCCTGGGCTAGAGTGCCATGGCATCAGGCTAGCTCACAGCAACCTCAAACTCCTGGGCTTGAGCAATCCTTCTGCCTCAACCTCCTGAGTAGCTGGGACTACAGGCATGCGCCACCATCCCAGCTAATTTTTTCTACGTATTTTTAGTTGTGCAGTGAATTTCTTTCTATTTTTAGTAGAGACAGGGTCTCGCTCTTGCTCAGGCTGGTTTTGAACTCCTGACCTTGAGTGATCCTCCTGCCTTGGCTCCCAGAGTGCTGGTATTAAGGCAAGAGCCACCACGCTAGGCCTATTTTCATCCAATTTATTCTTTTTTCGCTCATCACTTTACTGCACTGGCTAGAACTTCAAATACAGTGTTAGTAGAAGTAGTAAGAGTAGATTTCTTGATCCTAGTATAAAAGTGTTCAATATTTCACCTCCTGTTTCTAGTTTTCTGAGAGTTTTTATAATTAATGTTGAATTTTGTCAAATGTACTTTGTACATCTATTGAGTTGATAATATGATTTTTGTTCTTTATTATGGTGAATTACCTTAATTTTCAAATATTAAACTGACTCGTCATGATATGTACTCTTCTACATATTTTCACATATTGCTGGATTTAATTTGCTAATATTTTAAAGGTTTATCCATCTAATTTCATGACAGATATGGGCGTGTATCTTTCTTTACTTGAAAAGTCTTTGTCAGGTATTGTTAAGAATCATGCTGTCAATTTCCCTTTTCTTTTATTTATGTCATGAAAGAATTTGTGTAAAACTGGCATTATTTCTTCCTGAAATATTTGAGAGAATTCACCACCTCTCAAATGAATTAAATATTCAGAATTGAAATTGGAATTAAGAATTGATGCCATCCAAGCCTGGAGGTTTTTTCATGGGAAGAGTTAAATTACAAATTCAATTTTTTAACACAGATATATAAATATCCAGACTATAATTTTTCTTTGTGTCAATTTTGATAATATACAGCTTTCAAAAAATTTTAAAATTTCATCTAAGTTGTCAGTTTTATTGGCATAAATTCTGCATAATATTCTTTATCCTTCTGATGTATAAGGATCTATAATGATGCCTTATCTTTCATTTATCATTTTTTCCCTCTTTTTGATGCTGAAAGTAATTTCATTATTTTTTCAGAGAGCCAACTGTTACCTTTATTAATTTTTTTACTATTTTTTTTTTGAGACAGCATCTCACTCTGTTGCCTGGCCTAGAGTGCCGTGGCATCAACCTAGCTCACAGCAACCTCAAACTCCTGGGCTCAAGGGGTCCTTCTGCCTCAGCCTCCCAAGTAGCTGGGATTACAGGTTCATGCCACGACACCTGACTAATTTTTTTTTATATTTTTAGTAGAGTTGGGGTCTTACTCTTGTTCAATTAGTCTTGAACTCCTGATCTCAAGCAATCCTTCCACCTCAGCCTCCCAGAGTGCTAGGATTACAAGCATGAGCCATGGCACCCAGCCTTTACTATTGTTTACCTTTGTTCTATTTCACCCATTTCTGCTATACCTATTATCTCCTTCCATCAAGTTATTTTGATTCAATTTTCTTAACTTTTAGCTTCTTAAAGTTAAACATAGATTGATTTTATATCTTTGTTCTTTTATAATACAAGCCTGTAATGCTATAAAATTTCCTCTAAACATTGCTTTAGTTATATCCAACAAATTTTCATGTGTTATATTTTATGATCATTCAATTTAAAATATTAAAAATTTCTTCTTATCTCAGCAAAAGTCATTTTATCTCTTCATGTTTCTGTTTTTTCATCTCTAATATAACAGGGCTATTCTTAAAGATCTTTAAGTTTTCTTTAGATTTATTGTTTTCTGTTTATTGATTGGTTTAATATTTTAAATTATAAATTTTAACTGGCCATAGCAGGCAGTTAGCTTTTACGATTTGAAAGGTGTTTACATTTAGTCTATTTTTTTGAAGCATAGAATGTATTAAGGTATTAAAGTATTTTTGCAAAACTATTTTTAGTTTCAAAATGTTTGCATTTGAAAGATGGTACTCAGTAACTTTCTCTAGGAATATACAATGCTGTTTAAAAGTGAAACCATATATTATATCCATTGACAATTGTAGACAGAAACCAAAATCATTTAAATATAGTAATATATTTGGTGTTTATGTCTTCAGAATAGGTATAAAATCAATAAATACCATTCAAAATAAAGAATAATATTGAGAAATGAAATAATCTGAAAATACATAAATAAAAAAGAACTTCTCTGAATGGGACTACCATATAATAAAGAATATATTTGATTTTCATTCAGGGTTCCTGGCACAGATCTTCAAAAACCCATGGAATTTTCTGAGTGATAGGAGACTCTTTGATATGCTAATGAGATGACTGTTGGCTGGCACCTAGATAGCTTGAGGATGGGGGCTGGTCACCAGAGGACCAACTACATGATTAGAAAGTTGGAACTTTGAGCCAACCTGATCCTCCGGGAGGAGAGGGAGGCTGGAGATGGAGTTGAAGCACATGGCCAGTGATTTAGTCAATCATGCCTATGTAACAAAACCCTGATAAATACTCTGGACACTGAAGCCCAGTAGAATTTCCTCATTAATAAGCCAAGAAGGGGATGCACCCTAACTCCACAGGGAATGGGCAAGGAAGCTCTGAATCTGGGACCCTCCCAGACCTTTCCCTATGCACCTCTTCATTTGGCTGTTCCTGGGTTGTATCTTTACAATAAAACTGTAATTGTAAGGATAACTCTTTCCTGAATTTTGTGAGTCACCCTTGCAAATTATCAAACCTAAGGAGGGTTATGGGAACGCCTGATTTTTTATTGGACTTGTCAGATGTGTGAGTGTCCTATGCCCCACTTGCAGCTGGCACTTGAAGTTCAGTCAATCTTGTGCAAAACTGAGCCCTTAATTTGTGGAATTTGATGCTAGCTCTGATTGGTTACCATCACAGTTATATTGTAGTACCCCACCATGGTGAAGGAGGGAGCAGAGAGGGACATTATAGAGCAAAAACATGTATACCTGTGACAAACAACACTGGTCATTCCGTTATCCAGGCTGGTTTTCTTACATAATAGATCTTTTTGTCTTTAGCTAGACAGATGTCCACCCAGCTAAAATCTTTATTTCTCAGCCCCTCTTGAAGCTGTGCACATATGACTAAATTCTGGCCAAAAAAGATTTACGCAGAAGTGTTATAACCTCCCCGTCCCCTTTTTATTATGAAAGCTATTTGTTGTCTCTGTTCTAGCACTTACCTCTTAACAGCTGATAGCAATCCTATGTTTGTTTCTTTCTTTTCTGGGAGTGACATCTGATATTCAAGATTTGACTCTCTTTAAAACATGTATTACATTACATAGGATTATTTAATACATTTATCTGAAAGATTAATAAGTTCTGCTAAAATCCTCATGAATGTGTTGTGGCCTATTGGTAACAGTCACAAGCCCTGGATTCTGCACAGAAAAGATGTATGTCAATATGCAGAGTCACTATTTCTAAAAACATTTGCAGAAAGAGGCACCTGTAAGAAAAACTCCTCCATCAGGGCCATGGTCCACCGATAGTGCAGCTTCCAGGTTTTGGCCGGGTGGCTGATATCTGCCGCGTGGAGAATCAGGGACATGGTTTTGGCTCTGTCAATCCTGTCAAACCAAGGACATGCTGCAATTATCAGAACAAAGTAACCAATTTACAGTTTTTCCAGAGTCCAAGCCCACAGACCTTTAATATGACAAAAGAAAATAACCTACCCTTCAGGCTGCTGCAAACTGTTTCTTATATTTTTAATTTGCTGGAAGTGACCTGACATGTCTGTAGATAAAACCATTTCAATCACTAGGTTCCGAAGATCCCTGTAGAGTCGTGAACAGGAGAAAGGTTCATTCAGCCCTTTATTGTTCTAAAGTGGAACATTTCCTTAAATATCACTAATTACATTTTATTGCTCTTAATGGATAGGAACACAAAAAAATGCTACTTGTTAAATGTGAAAGTGCTCACAAAAGTTGACATGAGTTTACCTTTGAACTCTTCTGGATTTAAGAAGTTATGAGCAGAGTAAACTGTGAATGATGTTAACATCTACCCCGAGGAACTAGTCTTTTCCCTGGTCTCGCCCACAACTCTCCCCCACACATAATTCCTAAATATTGATTTTCTATCTCAAAGGATCTTTAGCCATTTTAAAGAAAAACTATTCTAAATATAATATTTCAATATTTTGGAAGAAAAAAGGCACCTAGTGGGGTTTGAGACTACTCTAAATCCATATGGTCAACAAAACTAAAAGGCTTAATGTCTCAGGGAAGAGATGGCCATGGATTCTCAAGACCCTCCCTGCTCCTTCCTCACTTTGCACCTTTTCAATAAAATTACTACTATTAATAAAACCAGTCTTATTTTTTCAATATTTTTTCAGTCCAGCAACTGAACCATGAAGATTAAATATGTTCATATAAAAATTAATACAAAGCAACTAAAGCATTTTAGCAAGTAGTTACTTTGTAAGCATATGAAGACATTTAATACTCATAACAACCCCTGAGAGGGTATCAGTATTTCTCCCTGGAGGATACTGAGTCACCCAGTCACACTATTAGTACATGGCTGAGACAAGATACAACCCCAGGAGTTCTCACTCCCAAAGCTGACACTTTGACCAATCTACTATGGCAAACCTCCATCATAAGAACTCAAGGGAAGCTGAGATGTGCTAGAGTAAGTGGGGATTTTCTGTTTAAGCTTTTGGGTTCTGTCCTTACATAAATAAACAGAGCCACTGGTACTATTGAAATTTTTAACCAAGATGCTATAAATATGGTAATCATATCACAAAATCTATATACAAATAACTTATCCTCACACTTCATAGACAGTAAGTCACCCCAAGAAAAGCTTGCATGTTCTATAATTCCTTGTTTGCTCTGTAGAGATAGGTTTAAAAAAATCACTTGTACTAGAAACCATATTTTACTTTTATTGTGTGCCATGGCCAATAGAATAAGTTAAATCAAAGGTATAGAGGAAACCTGAGTTATGATCTTATATCAAAGATATTTTATCCACAGATGATATGATCCAGTGGGATGATTTTTTAAAAAATCCTTTTATAATTAGATCCTGTCAGTCCGAGAATGTAAATCCTCTTGGGCTACTCTTTCCTGAGGGATACAACTGACCCTTGAACAATGTGGGTTTGAACTGTTTAGATCCACTTAGACTCAGGTTTTCTTGAGATCAGCCCCTGTTTTTCCTCCCCCAACTCAGTCTACTGAAAGTGAAGATGATGAGGATGAAGATCTTTGTGGTGATCTATTTCCACCTAATAAACAGTAAGTATATTTTCTCTTCCTTGTGATTTTCTAAATAATATTTTCTTTTCCCTAGCTTACTTTATTGTAAGAATATAGTATGTAATACATGTAGCATACAAAATGTTTATTAATATATTTTGTTGTTGTTATTGATCAACAGTAGGCCATTATTATTTAAGTTTTTGGTGAGTCAAAATTTACATACGAATTTTCAACTTCATGGGTGATCAGCACCCCAACCCACCCACGTGTTGTTCAAGGGTCAACTATAAAATGAAAGGCCTGAACTGGGTCCCCAAAACAAAGTGCCACCTTCCCCTCACTTTACAGCATTTTCTACAGTTGCAAAAATAAGCCCCTTTTTTTGGAACTGGCTTTGAAAAACTAGGAAGCTTTGAAAATTTGGAGAAGTAGCCATGGGATATTAAGGCTTATTTTAAACTTGATTTTACCTTTTATGTTTTGTTTTTGTTTTTGAAAGTTATTCCTTGCCACTTTTCTTTTGGACATTTCTTTTTACCTTCATTCAAAAAACAAAAGTAAAAACAAAAAACTTTTGATATTTACATTTGAGTGGACCTTTTCCAGTTCATGTACTGACTTTTAACAAGATCTCTGTGAAAGGTAAACATAGGCTTTTTAAAAATATAGTTTAAGTGTGTCCCACAGAATATTAAGGCTATATACTAAAAAGATTCTATGATATCTAAAATTCATATTTAATTGGTTTTCCTTTATTTTTATTTGCTAAATCTGTCAACTCTGTTGTCAAATGAAAGGGGTGATGAAGAATGAAGGATCAAAGAAGGGAAGCAAGGTTATGCAGAGTGATAAGGGTGCATCTTGTTATTTTCCCCTACATGGGGACAAGTATCATCATACAATGTAATTTTTTTAAAGCAAATACATGCCTTGGGGAAACATGTAAGATTTCCTTCTATACTTGGGTTATTTTATTATATTGGAAAACTTTACCCCAAATGTTAGAATTTTTTGAATCTATATAAGATCACATATTGGTACAAATTGAACACAGATCCATTGCAGAAAATGTATAATTATGTATCTTAAAGTATTTGTTATGTTGTGTGTGTTCTTATCCATGAAGTTGACCTAGAAATGTTTCAACTTTGTCTAACAGAGCCTGGTTCTTGAACAAAGTCTTCTAGGTATTAATCATTCTCAGAGTTGTCCATTCAACAGTAATTGAGTTTGTAGTATGGGGAAGGCACTGACTTTCATCTGTTTTCCTGACTTTAAATCACACAATTAATTGTTTTTCTGAAATTAGGTCTCCTCTGGGTTTAATCTGAAACTCACCTCCAGTCATCTTTGGATAAATTTACCAAGATATTCATTTCTTCTTCCTGCATAAGTCGATAAGCTGCACTCACATGGTGATTCTCAAGGACAGAGCGATCGTTATACAAAATGGCAACATCTGACCTAAGAATTAAAAACAAAATGCTCAGTAGAGGATTTCTTTAGACTTCATGATTGTTTAATAAAAAATACTCAAGTTTCAAGTCATGTCACCAGTAAAAACCTCATAATTGAACACTTAAAATTATAGAAGGAATAACTTTCCTTTTTAAAATTTTTACTGTACAATATTTTAAAAATTTATATAAATTTTCTTTTTTGGAGCAGATTTAGGTTCACAGCAAAATCTGGATGATACAAAGATTGCCCACATACTTTCTGCCCCCATGCACATATAACTTTCCCATTATCCATATGCCCCACAAGGGTGGTATTTTTGTTACAATTGATGAACTGCCACAGACACATTATCACCCAATGTCCATGGTGTACATTATGGGTCACTCTTGGTGGTGTGCATTTTTTGGGTTTGGACAAATGTATAGTGGCATGTACCTATCATTGTATACCATACCGAACAGTTTTACTACCCTAAAAACCCTGTGTGATCCTCCTATTCCCTGATCATCCCTTTCTCCTCTGGAACCCCTAGAAAGCACTAATCTTTTTACTGTCTCCATAGTTTTGCCTTTTTCCAAATGTCATATAATTTAAATCATATAGTATGTTACCTTTTCAGATTGGCTCCTTTCACTTAGTATTATGCATTTAAGTTTCTTCCATGTCTTTTCAGGGCTTGATAGCTCATTTATTTTTAGTGCTAAATAATGTTTCATTGTCTGGATGTACTAGTTTATTTATCCCTTCACCTACTGAAGGACATCTGATTGCTTCCAAGTTTTGACAATTATGAATAAAGCTGCTATAAGCATCTGTATGCAGGTTTTTTTGTGAACATAAATTTTCAACTCATTTAGGTAAATACCAAGAAGTACAATTGATAGATCATATGGTAAGAGTAGGTTCACTTTTGTAAGAAACTGTCAAACTATCTTCCAAAGTGGGTGTACCATTTTTCATTCCTATCAGTAATGAGTGAGAGTTTCTGTTGCTCCACATCCTCAGCAGCATTTGGTGTTGTTAATGTTCTGGATTTGGGCCATTCTAATTGGTGTGTAGTAGTATCTCATTCTTGTTTCAATTTATACTTCCCTGATGACATATGATGTGGAGCATCTTTTCATATGCTTATTTGCCATCTGTATATCTTCTTTGCTGAAGTGTCTGATAAAGTCTTTGGCCCATTTTTAAATTAGGTTGTTTGTTTTCTTATTGTTGAGTTTTAAACATTTTTTTGTGTATTTGGGATAATATCCTCTATCAGATATGTGTTTTACAAATATTTTCTCCCAATCTGTGGCTTGTCTTTTTAGTCTCTTGACAGTGTCTTTGGCAGAGAATGAATTTTTAATTTTCATGAAGACCAGCTTATCAATTCTTTCTTCTTAGATAGTGGCTGTGGTGTTATATTTTAAAGTCATCATCAAATCCAAGGCCATCATCAAATCAAAGGTCATCCATATTTTCTCCAATATTATCTTCTATGAATTTTATAGTTTTGTGTTTTACATTTAGATCTGTGATCCATTTTAAGTTAATTTTTGAGAAGGGCATAAAGTCTGTGTCTTAGTATGTTTTGTGCTCCTATAACAAAATATTTGAGACTGAATAATTTATAAAACACAGAAATTTATTGCTCACAGACCCCAGAGGCAAAAAAGTTCAAGATCAAGGCATTGTCATCTTGTGAGAATCTTCTTGCTGAGTAGTCAAATGGCAGAAGGCATCACACCGGAGAAGGTTAGAGAGTGCAAGAGAGCAAACCCACTATCTGAGCCCATTTTATAATCAGCATTAATCTATTTATCGCTAGTATCTTCAATACGATGCTGAAAATCAGTGCTGGGATGGTACATCCTTGCCTTATTCATGATCCTAGCAGGAAAGCTTCGATTTTCTTACCATTAAGTATCATGTTAGCTGGAGGTGTTTTGTAGACATGCTTTTTTTCCAATTTATTTATTTGCTTGTTAAATTGACAAATAAATTTATATATATTTCTCATGTACAAGATGATGTTTTAAAATATACATACATTGTGGAATGGCTGAATCAAGCTAATCAATACATGCATCACCTCACAAATGTATCTCTTGTGGTGAGAACACCTAAAATCTACTCTCTTAGCAGTCTTTGACTATACAATACATTGTTATTAACTATAGTCTTTACATTGTACGATAGATCTCTTAACTTTATTCCTCTTATCTAATTGAAATTCTGTATCCTTTGCCCAACATCTACCCAACCTCTGCCTCTACCCCAGTCCCTGGTAACCACCATTTTACTTTTGTTGATATTCTTTATCAAGTTGAGGAAGTTTCCCTCTATTCCTAGTTTATTGAGACTTTTTATTATGAATGAGTGTTGGATTTTGTCAAATGTTTTTTCTGTATCTATTGATAAGATCATGCAATTTTTCTTCTGTAACCTATTTATGTGATGAATTGCATCAATTGAATGTTGAATGATAAACCAGGCTTACCTACTTGGGATTAATCTCACTTTGTTGCCGTGCTTAGTTTTTTTTTTTTTTAATTGTCATTATCATAATTTAAATGTGTTTATACTTTTTACTTTCTCTTTGTTATCCATATACCAGACAGATACTCTAGATACACCAGGGAGGAAAAAAATTACCTAACATCTTTATTCAATCAGTGAATGAATAAATTCCATTTTACCCATTCCAGATAGTTGGTTATCACTCCTATTCCTTTAGACTAAAATTGCTTTGGGTAGGGGTGAAGAAAATGATGAAACTCATTCGGTCTATTTGGAATTCTACTTTTTTCTCCCTTATAATGTTGTGATTAGATTTGAATACTAAATATCTTTTTGCTTTAAATTAAAATGAGAAAATCATTTTTAAAGAAAACTTAAAATGTATGTTTCACTATTAATTTATAGTGGACATTTTATTTTAAAAATGATGAATTCATCAAGAGGTTTTTGATTCTCACTTTTCTGTATTTTCATGTAATTTCATAATCAGATAAACTACTGCAAGTTGCATTGATGAATTTGATATTTTAGCATAAAGTATGAAATACTCCAAGCATTCTCAGATTTTTATAATGGAAATATTGCTTCTCCATCATCTATCCTGCTAGGTTGTCAGATCATTACGCAAGTGTGTAATGGAAGCAGAACCACTATGTTCAGTGTCTTAAAATGATGAACCCATTTATACAAGTTTGCAAGTTGGAGCTAGGCAGCAAAACCAGCAAAAAGAAAGTCAAACTAAAATCTGTAACAAGTTTGCTACCACTTCCCCAACACCCAGGCTTCTTTCGATTTCCTTCTTCCTGATAGGTACATATGCAGTCAGGTGTAAAACTGCCTCACTCCAGATTTAGTGTTTCAGGCTTTTCAGAGGATGAAATCCTACTTATAATCTAGCCCTGGACCTGCCACTAAATGTTTACTGAAGCATAGACAATGATAAAATAAAGAACTAAAGTTGCCACAAAAACAACAACAAAAATGGGTAGTTATATGAGATGATGGATATGTTGTCTCACTATAATTACCATTTTGCTATTTGTATCCTATAATATATGACATACTGGAAATGTACATGATAAAATTTATTTTTTAAAATAATAAAGAACTAAAGAAATCTGCATCTGCTTCGAGCAACCTATTCAATATCTGTATCTGACATTCTGCTAGATAAACCAAGCTTTATTATTAATCTAACATAAGAGAAATGACTTATCAATGCACTAAAATACTTACTTTCTCTTTTGTTTCTAGCACTATCATAAAGGTGAAATAACACATGTATTATCATTTAGCTAATAGCACATATGTCCAAAATTGACTTTTTAAAAATAATCCCAGTTAAGATATAAAAAAATCACTTAATCAATAATCATACCTCAATAGCCCAAATTCTGAACTAGGAATGCATACATGGAATACTTGTCAAAGAAATAATTAAATAGATTTTTCCTGAGTAAAATAGCATGTGCATTTCCAGAAGTTTGTTGAGATCATGGGGAAATCTGATTTTCCAATAACATAATTTGTATCATATGGCCCCAAATCTAGCTGTATCAATTTTATCAGGGTTATTACATGACATGGCTCCAAGTGTCACCATCTCTTGCTTTCAGAAACAACCAAAGATGTGTTTTTCAGCCATATAAAATTGAATCAAAGTGTTTTGTCTCATAAATCTAACAAAGATACTGAGAATACAGCATGGTCTTAATGTTTGAGTGGTCTTTGACTGCTAAGAAAAGAACAGACTCTAAGCAACATCCAGTATCCATGGTAACATGTAGCTTGGCACTTTCTTTTCACAAAGAGGAAATTATTTCCATTTATTTACACTTTCAAGGATTTCATGCATTATAATGTCTGTATTAAATTCCAATCTAGCCTTGCCCTGTGTTCTAAATTGCATTTTAGTCATTTTTCATTATGCAGTAAATGGGTTTCCATGTTCAAAAAGCGCTTTAAATCCAAGTAACAATGAATAATATGAAATAAAATAGAATTATTGATATCAATGATGCACAACCTTATTTTTTCATGCATAAAATGTGAAGGCAATAGTAAGAGTTAGAAAAGCATATTATATGGTTGCATTTTGGTCACTACAACATTTTTGTTCATGGAATTTTCAAGTTCATGTAAAATTAATCCATTTAATATGATCCTGTTAGACAATTTTTCCCTTTCTATACTGAGGTTCTTTTTTCTTTTCTTAAGACAGGGTCTCACTGTTGCCTGGACTAGAAGACACCAAGTTTTTTAAACATAAAAGTGGAAAAGATTGATTCTTCTCCTCCTTGTCCTCCTCCTTGTTATTCTCTTCCTTCTTCACGTCTTCTTTCATCCTTGTCATTCTCCTCCTCTTCTCCTTCTGTTCCTTCTTCCCCACAGCCCAAAGCATTAAAAAATTGACTTTTTATCCAGTTGTAGATGAGTAGTAAAAGGAGAAAGCTAGAAAGGATGATATAACACTGTCGCTGGAAGAGCCCAGTCCATTGCTTTCACTTTTCAAAGTAGAAAGAGTAAGACTACTCACTGGTAACAAATCACTTGCTCCTTTCTTGAACTCCTAAAACTGTTGTCCTGTACAGAGCCCAGCTTAGTAATGAGCTATCTTTAATTAAAATCCTCCTTTACTATGGACCCAGTGGATATAAAGAGCCTTTGATAGACAAAAATGATCTACATAGTCTTCTTTTCTTTTGATGTTTAATAGAAATAAAAGCAAAACAACTCCCTATACTCTGCAAGTATGTGTAGGTTAATAACATTTCTACCATACAACCAGGCTCCCGAGTTTTCCCTTTTCTTTCATTCTATGTCATCTGAAGGACTCTGGGGTTTCCTCCACTCCAGGGATAGGCACAATGCCTTCCCCAACATTTCACTGTCTGATTTTCAACTCTTCCTCTGTCTCCAACAATGTGCAATGTGCAATGGGTGCAATGTGTAAGTCCATTCCATTTCAGGCTATAAAAGATTGGATGCTTCTGTCTTTGGTGGTAAGAGCAGAGTTATATTTAATATAAGTAACTGCATTGAGAGTGAGTGTCACTTTTCTCAGCTTCTTAATCCTGCCACTGCCATCAACAGACTGTGCGTATCAGAGGTCTCTTCACCCTCTGCGTTTTCTCTTCTAAGACTATGAGGTCTAGATCAGATGATCTCTAATGTGGATCTCAGTCACCTTAGGGTCCATTTAAGCTCTAACATGTCTAATATTTTAATAAAATATCTCTGTACTCCTCACATCAAAACAACAACTCCTTACACATGGCTGCTTATGGCAACATTATTTATAAGTGCCAAAAATTGGAAACAAGATTTCCTTCAATAGGTGAATGGATAAACAAGCTGTGGTACATTCATATGATGGAATATTATTCAGCGATAAAAAGAAATGAATTATTGAGCATGAAAAGACATAGAAAAATCTTAAATATGTAACGCTAGTGAAAGAAACCAGTCTGAAAAGGCTACATACTGTAAGATTCCAACTATATGACATTTTGGAAAAGGCAAAACTAAAGAGACATCAGAAGGATCAGTGGTTATCAGGGGTAAAGGGGGAGGAAAGGAAGAATGAGTAGGTGAAGCACATGGGTATTTAGGGCAGTGAAAACCATTGTGTATGATCCTTCAATGGTAGAGACATGACATCATACATTTGTCAAAACCCATAGAAACGACCATACAAAAAGTGAACCCTAATGTAAACTATGGACCTTAGTTAATAATGATATATCAATATTGGTTAATCAGTTGTAACAAACGTACCACATCAATGTAAGGTATTAATAAGGGAGGAAGTTTCAGGGTGGCAGGAGAGAGCATATGGGAATTCTGTGTACTTCTGTTCAGTTTTTCTATAAACCTAAAGCTGCTCTCAGAAATGAAGTTTATTAATTTTTAAAAATGAACAAAAGCAAATGAGTAAATAAAAAAAATAACCAGGTTTAGTTTTCCCTCAACAAGAATTGAAGGTTCTATAGTGGTTTCAGAGAGACATCAGTCTCTTAACTTACATCTCCTTGTTAAGCATCTTGACTAGTGGAAGAGTTGGAGAAATTTCAGGATCCCACATATATAAAGTGATTTGGATCCTGATGGGTCCTAGACCAAATTCTGCCACTCTGGCACTGACTTCTCTGTCCAACTAAATAGAGTACCTTCGTGTTATGGACTGAATTGTGTCTTCTCTAAAATTCATACATTGAAGCCCTAATCACCAATGTGACTGTATTTGGACATACAGCCTTTAAGGATATAATTAAGGTTAAATGAGGTCATAAGGGTGAGACCTGAATCAAACATGACTGGTGTCCTTAAATGAAGAGGAAGAGACACTAAGGGTACATACAGACAGAGAAAAGACCATGTAAGGACACAGCAAGAAGGTGGCTATCTCCAAGTCAAGGACAACAGTCTCAGAAAAAACAAATCTGTTAACACCTTGATCTTAGACTCCCAGCCTCCATAATTGTGAAAAAGAAATTTGTGTTTAAGTTACCCATGCTGTGGTATTTTTTTATGGCACCCCTAGCAGACATACTCTTCCACTCTGTTATCTTGATTCAAACAAATGCCAATAACAATCTTTTAAAGAATCTCATTTTACAATTGTTTTAAATTTAATGCTTCATGCTGGCCTAAAAATGATATTTCTTTGATATTTTAATTTTTTTCAGAAGTGTAATATCATTACTTTCAATACATAATGACATCGAATCAATACCTTAAACAATATGTGGCAAGATTTGTCTCAGTGAACAGATAAGTGACTTGTGTGATAGTTCACAGTACAAGTTCTAGACAGAGGAAAATTGTCTTACACATTTTTATGTTCCTTAAATTGCTAAATAAGCCACAAAATATTGTATACAAAATTCTTGAAAAATAATAATTGATTGATTTAAGTGTTTGCAGCTTAAGGAATTTTGTTAAAAGTCCATTAAACCTATTGTTATTAGAATCTATATTGTTTTTTAAAAGCCTCTTAAGTAATATGCAGAAAAGTAATTTCAAATTTTAACTTATAAAAGTTAATACTTTATTTAACTTACCTTGTCTGAATATGAAAGTTGTTCGTGGTCCCTGTATGCTCGTAATCATGAATGGCAGCAGCAAATACCATTGCTAAAATTTCCAGTTCATTGAGCCAGTGCTAGTAAATTAAAGAAAGAATCCATCACACTTAGAAAGCAGAGGCCATCTTTTCTTTCTATGAAAAAGATTTTCAGTGCATCCAGTGTATGCAATCATATAAAAATATTTATTTTTTTTAACATTTTTAAAAATTTCTTCCCCTTTCACCTCCATTACTTGTGTATAATGGATGCTCCATAAGGTCAACGATTATTTCTTGGCCTATATGTTCAAAATTTGAAATATAGTCCTTGATAATTGAAAAAGGAGTCATTTTCAATGATTTAAAAGATGAACCCTGCCTTCATTTTGAATTCACAGTCCTACAGATTTGAGTCCTTATGAAATTGATTACAGTTTAGTGATTTTTAACATATAGTTCATGTCATTAAAATGTCTTTTAGTTCATGTTTTGTAGAAGACCCTACTATGAGAAAATTTTCCAACTAAAAGTTGAAAATATTCACTTTACTCTTTAGAGAAACTGAACTTGATTTTTATATTTAAAGATTTAGAAAAGTTTCTGAGAATTCACTGAACTTTCTATTCATAACACATATATGACTGTGCAAGTAAACTTAAAAGTGATAAAGGAAAGAATAGATGCTTTCACATGAAATACAGGACCATCTGTTTCATTTACACTGATCTTTCTGTTAACTGAACAATTTAACAGAATTTTTCTACATTATGAGTTCATTTAGAAATAATTAGTTTATTCATCCCTCATATTTTGCAAAACATTTTCACTGCACTGTCCAATATGGTAACTCATGTGACTATTTAAATTAAAAGAAATAAAATTAAATTCACTTTCCCAGTTACACTAGGCACATTTCACAGGCTCACTAGTCACATGTCACAAGTGGCTACTATGTAGAATAGCACAGATACTAAGTATTTCCATCATCACAGAAAGTTCTATTGGACAGCATTGCAAGTGGATGGTACTTGATGATAGGAATGGAGAATCCAAAATGATATGGAGTTCACTCTTAGTGGTCTATACACCTAAGACAATTAAGGACCATGCACAAAACAACAGAAAAATATCCTGTAAACTATATGCGTACTTGATAAAATTTTGCTGAGTACAGAAGCAATCTGAGGGCAGATAGAAAGGCCATTTGGTGGCAATGGATATTGCAAGAAGGATGGACAAAGATTGACAGTTAAGTGCAGAGTTGGAGACAGAAGGATTTTAAATAGAAAGAGCAAATGGGGAATGATTATGTTGAAATGTATTGAAATAGAATTATCAATAGTACAATTGTGTAGGAGAGTCCAGTGAAGTGATATTGACAAGACAGTGGAGAGTATGGAAAGAGTTGATGGACTACCTTGATTAAAGCTGGTGAATTTGGAATTTGGATAAAAGGCTGGAGGAACCCATTATAAGTCCATAAGTCAAAAATGAAGGAGATGACAACTGTTGCATCTTACAGTTGCCAAAGGCATGGTTTTATTAATCTTTGCTCCCTTTATAGAACCTATCATGATATTTGGCACAAGAGGAACTTAATATTTGTTTGTTGAATTGAGTTTCATGAATTTTGCATTAGAAAAATGTAGTAGGGAAAGAGACTGTAGAATCAGACAATCCTGGTTTTAAATCTCTTTATCCCCAGGAAAATAAGTTATTTACCCTCTCAGCTACAGTTCTCATGAAAATGGGATTAGTGATCATTCCCCTGTGGAGTTTTAAAAGAGGTTTTAATGTATACATTGTGTCTATCACAAATCTTGTCATTTAGTAAAATACAGAATAATTGGTATTTTACTGAATTTATTACTTTATATACATTGTTTAAGGCATTAAATCTGGAAAACAATAGCTAATATATCTTTAGTGATTGCAATTCAAGTATAAATGCCTCACAGTTGGAGGACTGAAGCAGAAATGATTTTCAGAACCAAAGGAAGTCGATATAACAAGCTGTTCTGTGTTTATAGATGCATTTAATTGTGAGTCATTAAAAGGAAGAAAGTGACCTTATTAAGGGCCTGCATTATAGGCTGAACTAGAACTGAGCCTCCAATGTTCCCAATGAAACTATGAAATTAAACACCATGAAATGAGTAGCAATTGAAGTCAAACCAGTTTTTGTACCCCAAGAAACCCATTGTTTTAATAAATAAAATTCTCTCTTGAAGAAGTTAAAGTATTTTCTTTAAAGTATTTAAAGTATTTCTTTAAGTATTTTCTTAAAGTATTTCTTATTAGTTCTACTTATGGATTTGCAGATTTAACTATGTTTTTTTTTAAAAAAGCAACATTCTATATCCACTATGATAATGTAAAATATAAAGTTGCAATAGTAAAAAAAATAAATTAGGAAATCAGAGATAACATTTAATTAGAGATTAGTTTATAAATATTTAAAACTATTATCTTGCTAGATGTCAAAATTGATTATAAATATATTTCTTATTTTTATTCTAATTAATCTGTGCTTCCCATAAATAATACTTTCTCCATGAATCCTTCTTATTTATTGCCACACTATGGTCTTAATGATTAAGTTTACACTACAAACTAGTTTAGGAAGGGAGAAACACTGAAATTTCTCACTTAATTTAAAAATACATATCTATTTTTTATTAGCAAAAGTAGAATTTTGAACTGATCGTTAGCTCCTTAGTTGCTGATTCATCTTATCTGGTATCAAATGATAATTCTAACTCAGAGTACGGATGCTTAAGTTCACAGATTTTGTAAATGATTCATGAGGATATGTTAGATAAAATGAGGCTGAATCATATTACTCTTCTCAACTAGAGTAGTGGTCAATACCAATCCAAGGTTCTTCTGATTTCCAGTGGACAGATTTAAAGGGTTAAAATGGTAAGTCCTGAGCAATGCAGGCCTTGTGTTTCATGTAGGTGTTTATTGCAACTGTAGGTTGCATTTTATCTGGAAGAATGCTCAGGTAGACTTGCTCTAAATTAGGCAGTCATCAAATTATATCATAAGAAAGTATTGACTGCCACTGATAGCATATATAATGATAACAGCTAAAAAAAAGGAAGGGAACTTACATGAACTGAACATCTTAGTTAATGGTCTCATTTAATTCTTGTAGCCATTTTATTTACCCTTCGCTAGGTAAATATTTTTATCTATATGTTGCAGATAACAAAGCTAAATCTTAAAGAACTGGATTAACATTCCAAAGGTCATTACATAGCTATCTAGTGGCACAGCAAGAAATCTGTCAGCAAGAAATCTGATTCCAAAGTTTCTGTTTCTTCTATGGATCACAATAGAATTTATTACTCAAGGAAACAATGTGCTGCACCATTCTTCTGAGATGTCTAAAGCAGAAGTTTTAGGTAATTTAACTGGATGGATGAATGGGTAGAAGCTAATAAAGCTTTTAAGACTTATATAATTTTCACATCTGATTTACTAAACACGTGTGTGTGTGTGTGTGTGTGTGTGTGCACGTGTGCACACCTGTGTGATGAAGTACATGTGTGTTGTATGTATAGGGTGTGGAGAATTTCAAGTCAGAAAAATCACATTGACTTCTTAGTTCCTAATGTACCTAAAAGCACATAAGTAATATCCTTAGCTTAAAATTATGGATTTGGACACTTTTCTCTCTATCCCTTTGAATAGGCTGAAGTGTCTGTTATGTTACCAGTATAGAAAGCTTGCATATTATAATAATTTATTTATTTATTTGTATTAAGGTATGTGTTAATAAGTATTATGTCTTAGGCTTTACAAATATGATTTTATTGACTTCTCATTGCCATTCTATGAGATGGTTTGTATTATTAGTTACATTTTTGTGAAAAAGGAGTCAAGGTAGAGAGCTAGTTAATTAGGAAGTGGTGGAACAATCTGACTGCCTCCCAACCTCATACTCTTTCTACTCTTCCTAAGAGTATTGCATGGGAAGCCACTTAGTGTGTGGAACAGAATAGCGAAATAGTGCCAAATTTTCTGTAGATTGATCACAGAAAAATTGAGTCATTCCAGAGTATGAAAGACTGCTTATGGATGTAGTCAGTGAACTACAAGTTCCAAAGGAAATAGGTTTCAAGTCATCTCTCTTTCTCTTCTACTCTTAATATTAAAGAGAGCACAGTGCCAGCAGCCCTCAAGTGCAAGTATTCTCTGGCCAAGGCCCTTGGGTGATTTCATATTCAAAGAGACAGTTAGAAGCAGGTTGGCAGCATTCTGTAAAGCATTTGTTCTTTAGCAAATGGACTGAGTTATTGCACATCACTGTCACCGTGGCACAAGGCTGCAAGTTAATCAAGTGACAAAAGGAGAGAGGAGACAAGCAGTGTATTAGCATCAACTCTCCTCTGCGTAGTCTACCCCCAGGCTTCAAAGTGTCCCTTACAACATTAGCAAACTGAACAATGGTTTCATTGCAATCCCTTTCAGGCAATGGTCCTTAAAACATCTTGCAGGTGATAGGATGCATTAGTTGCCTGACAGTGTTGGGCTGCAACTGAAGTGCTCCATAAATGTCATACTGATACGGCCATCCTGAAATAGCAAGGTATCAACTAAAACACCAACGTAAGCGACCCAGTCTTCTCCGTATCAAATATGAGGGGTAACAAAGGGATGGAGAGTTTTAGCTGAATAAATACTTCTATAATGCTTTTTTGTTCAAAGAACTAACACATTCATATGCATAAAAATGAATACTCCCCACCACAACTTTTTTATGTAGAGAAAACTTAAAATAACTTTCCAAAACCTGTCAAAACTAACCTAGTTTTGTCAAAATAGTCAATACATTTGTGAACTCATTTTGCCTTTCCTTTCACCATTCATTGTAAAATTTTTCATTATTCTTTGTAATTGAAATGCATTTTTCTGATCCCAGACAATGCTAACGTTCTATCACTAGACAATGTTTGTATGACCAAACTAGTGGAGGATTAAAGAGTCACTGACATATTTTTGCTAAAGGATGAATAAAATCAGGAGCAAATTTCCAAGTCAAAACTGCTAAAATAGAGGGAAGTTATATTTGGTAATCATGGCCTCTCATAAAGCGACTATATGATCTTTACTAATGACTTTAACTTTCTAGGAGTCATGCCAGGCTGGGCTAGATTTCCTAGTCTTCCAGAGAAGTTGGAATGGCTCTCAGGTCCTGCAATAAGTATTTCTTAAAAGTCTAAGGGTAAAGTCACATTGTGGATTTGAATTTCTCTATTTACCCACTAATATGACATATCTTATCTCTTCAATGTCACCTTCAGACCAGAGGTTCCAAAGCTGCAACAGGAGACTTTAATTTGTCTCCCCTTATACTTGTGACAAGTGAAAAAAAATGTACTTAAGGAGAAACATATTTTAAAATGATGAAATTCTGGTTACCTCCCAGCCTGAAATGGCATTTTTTTCTCATTGCACTTCATTCTGAAAGCAGTACTAGGATTAGGAAATGTCACATGGCCCACACCTCTTGAACCCATCTCAGTTTGGCACCTTCAGAAGGAAGGGCTGCTCCTCACTTTTCACCCCGCAGGAGTCATCCTGAGCTCTAAGACATGGCAGAAATTCCAAGCTGTCTGAGTCCCTTGTCATCTACTCACTAATATCCCAGGGTTTGCATTGCTGAATCATTTATTCACCCACTCATTGATTCATTCATATTCAAAGAAGAGGATGGAAAATTTGGAAACATTCACATGAATAATTTCCCAAAATCTCTATTAGGATTTGATTGTGATTAGCAATGCAAGTAAAAGAGAAAAAGCTACTAAGGTCAGCTTAGGAGAACATGATAAATGAGGGAAGAACACTCTAATATTATGCTGAATACTTTTTCTCTAGCTCCTCTTTTTAAAATTTGTTTTGGTTGATTCTTATGGAAAAAGGAATTTTTAAACAAAACTGTTTCTATGGTCCAAATTTTGGAAAACTGATATGTTTTTATTTGTCTCTGGGTATCTTTTTATTCACTGAATTAAAATATTTTTTGAAAAATGTATATTAGGAATAATTCATTAACCCTCAAAAATCCAAAAGATTATCACTTATAATACTTATTACTTATAATAATTCCTTGGGGGTTAAATAGACAATAGGAACTTAGGGAAATGGAAGCTGATGTTTCCAAATTAACAGATTTCAGTTACAAAGACTTTCTTACCATGATACCTGTATGAAGCATTATGTAATGCACAGTTTGAGTGACATCAGCTGCATGAATCAAATTGTGATATGGATTTTTGTACTTGCTGTAACCAACTTCTAAAGCTTCTGCAAAGGCAATTAGGCAAGAAACAGGAATCTGTGGAAAAATAATAATCATGATTATATTTTGATCAAAAGAGTGGCACTATACATGAGCACAATGTTTGGGATGGGACATATTAGTGACTCAGATGTGGGCAGCAGTTTCTTTAAGTACAGATGTGGATTGGTCTTAAAAAAACGCTTCATTAATTTATTAGCTTTCAATCCTAAGAAGGATTGTAGCCGACAAGTATTTAACTAAGATAGATGAAATAACAGTCTTACCCATACTACAGTCTTTAAATGTTTGTATCTTCCAAAGAAGGCTAGTTTTTAAAAGGGTAAAAACTTCCAATTACAATTCATGAAGTCATTTTTCTATCTTTGGTATTAGGGGGTTAAAATAGATGACCACTCTGTACTTTCTAGCTCTAAAAATGCCATGATTCTACATGAAATGATGAAAGTTACAAGCTGCAGACTGCTCAGAAGTCTGGATCAAATCTGTTGCTTGGATGGATCTAAATCAAGTTAATTAGAAGCTCCTTCATTTCAATTTAAGAAAAACTGCCAATAAAGGTTCATTCTGTGTTTCAGGAACATTGGAGATTGATCATATTTCTTTAGGACATAGCCTTGAATCCCTACATGGATGTTCTGTGAATAAACCAGGGTATGCTGGTATCTTGTTGGAGTGAAGCTATACCAGCCTCATGATATCCAGGTGGATCTATAGATATGCCAATGAGTTCTGCAGAACGGCTCTATCATGTGGTGAACTTGTCCCTGTAATTCTGTGACCTGCTAACTAGAAACATTCTAAAATGAATTAATGACTCAATCAATTGAAAATTCACTCAAATGAAAATGCTGCATTTTCATTCTTATTCTAAGAGCATTTTCCACTTTTGTCCCATGTTGCTGACCTTGAAACGGTTGATAAGATCATATCTGGTAAACAGTTCATAAATCATAAACTTTAGACTATGTTCTCCACTTGCTTCATTTAGGGCAAATACATCAAAAGACCATTTATCGATATCCTGTAGAAAAAAGAGTGAATACTTTAGGTGGCAATATTGTATAGTTCTTTCTTTCTATGAAAAAGTATTCAAAAGAACAGGCAGCACACATTAAGCAGTTCATATTTCAATTTAGCATGTCAAACTACACTTTTACCAGAATGTGATATAACAGGGCCACTAAGTATCCATGGGTCCACAGCCACAGAAGCGAGGCCATAATTCTTAATATAGCACCAAGATCTTCCCCTTAATCCCAAGGTTATTAAACTGATGTAATAAACTTGATAACACCATAACACTGCCCTTATCTTTAATCTCTCTCCAACTTCCTGTCATAAATTATTTTCCCAGCATGGGCCTCCTTTTAAGGTAGAATTGCTGGTTATATGGGTGATTGCAGTTGAGGGACAGAGAGAAGATAGCCCCAATTTCTCTTCTTCACTCACCCACCTGCTACATTGCTTGAAATTTCACCATAGGACTTTATAATTTGGCTTAAAGTTTTGGTATCTATGCCCTCTTTTAACATGCAAATATCACAAAGAGGCAGAATATACACTACCTTTTATTATTAAAAGATATTTTATTATATACTACTTTTCACTTATTATTACTCACTCTAACTTTGACCCATTTATACTTTTCTGCAGGGACAGGTGGTGAGAGAAAGAAAGTGGGCCTTTTGATTGAGGAGGAGGATAGTAATTTTGGCATTTCATGCAATTCCCTAGGGAGGCAGGAAGGCCTGTAGGGAAGCAGGAAAGTGCCCCCTAATTGGGAGAAGGGGCAGTGAGCAGATATATTAAAACCATTCCAGCTATCTCATGATTTTGCCTTAAAAACTCTAAAGAAGCACAGTAGGCAGTTCTAAAGATTAAGAGAAACTGCTAGCAAGATGGCCTACTGTTTATACACACACAGCAGGTTTAGTATTGAACAGTAAGTGGGCAACCATAAAGCTATGCACTGATTTTGAATTTGAGTAGGCTCTTTTTAGGATTTTATTCAGTTAACACATTTTTATGGAGGCCAACTCTATGTTCTGTAACATGCTAAAGCTAAACTGAAAATCTGATAAAACATATTCAGTCTCTTTTTAAAAATACTTCCCTTTAAAAATAATAGTAACAGCTTCAAATGCTATTTTTAATCACTTGGAAACAAAGACCAATGAAATATTTTTTGATTTGCTTGTATGCTGTTATTAAATTCCTTGCATTTGGCCCTAATTTGATCCCCAAACACTTGCTTTATCTCTTTGTAAATTAAAAGTCTTTAAAAGTTCTGCTAGAAGGCATTTTACCACCAGGAAATCTCAAAGGAGGCCAACAAATCTTTTATCAAATTCCAAAGCTAACATAGAAGAGTTAGTTCAGAATCTTAGAAGGCTGCTATTTATATTTATTGTTCCAACTAGGGGGTTCTCACTGAGTAAAAGGTTAATTCTCCATTTCTTGGGAATTTTTGTAAACAATGATGATTTACATTTGTAAACTATTGCAGATGCTTGGCTTTTATGTCATCAGAGTGAGAACAAACAAGACAAGGAGGTTTCTCAGAGAATAAGAATTATTTAACTAAAACATTTTTATTTGGTGATACTTTGTCCTGCAACATATGTTTTTACTACACTATATTTTAGAAAAATTATTATATTCTCTCATACTACAGTATTTTGTCACTTGGTTGTTTTTAAGCAAAGATTCTCAAAATAAACAAAATAAAAATAAGTAATTTTCTTGCCCATGGTTGAGGAAATAACAGAGTAGAAAAAATCTCTCAAGAACTAAGGAGTAATTAGTATCCTGAGTGTGACATCCCAGTTATATTCTTGTCTTTATTATAAGTTGAATATTCCTTATCTGAAGTGCTTGGGACTAGAAATGTTTTGGATTTCAGATTTTCTTCAAATTTTGGAATATTTGCATTATGTACTTACTGGTTGAAAATTCCTAATTCGAAAATCTGTAATTTGAAATGCTCCAATGAGCATTTTTTTGAGCACCATCTCAGCAGTGCTCCAAAAGTTTCGGATTTTGGAACATTTTGGATCTTGGATTTTCAGATTAGGGGTATTCAATATGTATAGTTTAAGACATATAAATATAAGAAAGCATCCAAGAAAAATGAACTACTTTTTTAAATTAAAAAAAAACTTTAAAATTTAATATGCAGCAGAGAAAAGACAAATGCCAAGAAAATGCTTAAAAGAAAAATTTTTTAAAAAGTAATACAAATTTAAAATAGGACAGGAACATAATAAATCAGAAATAAAGCACCCCAAGATCTTCTGTTGCCAATATCCTTTAAATTCTTGGTGAATGCAAGAAAACCATCATGAAGCTTTTTTAGGAGATAAGATTAAATTTCCCCAACGAAATTAGGTGATAGAAAGAAATAAGAAATTTAAAAGGATGAGCCTACAAAATGCCTCTGTAGAAATAACATTTAGGAATGATGCACAAACAACACACACACACACACACACACACACACACACACAACACACACACAACAACTAAGCCAGTAACTTTTCTCATTTCAGAATTCCAACTCTAGTTATTTTTAACAATGTAGTACTACAATTGAGTGTTAGAATAGGGCAGCTACTGGAGAAGCCAAACATAAGAGAGATGAACTTTTTTTCTTTCTTCATTTTATCTTATATTTGCATTTTTTCAGACTTAAATTGTAATAATTTTCTTCTATATAAGTTTTGTCTTTTGACAAACTTAGATGTAGACTAAAACATCTTTTGATAATGCATTTAACTCTTCCATAATATAGTCATAACAAAATACATACATTTTAATAAGTACTAGTACCAACTCAAAATGGCATTCAAGATCCACCTAAATAAAGTGTGAAGAAAAAATGTGAAAAAAAAGTGTGAAGAAAAAATCACACAATGTGTGCATACACACATGCATATATATCCATTAACATAGTTTGTTAGTGTAAATCAATCATCATTTAAGTCTATAATGCATCATGATTTGGAACACAGTATGTTTTGTTAATGGTTAGAATATTTTTTATTTCAATATGTAGTGGCAGTAAAGGCCTATTCTCTTCTCCCAACCATTTTAAGTAGATTTTTTTAAATGACTATTTTATAAAATGAAATAATTGAAATTATTTCACCTTTAATGTTCCTATGACAGCTGCTGGATATACCAGACCAACCAGGTGAAAGGATTTTCTGTACATCCTAAAAAAGATAAAAATAAGTGTTTTATAAAATCATTTACTCAAAGTTTCAGATATTTCTTAAATATGAGGGAAAAGATTACTTTTGACTTGTTCACCTTTTACCACTATTTACACACTCCCTTTGTAGGAACAATGATGACTATAGCCACAGTTTACTAAGCATCTACAATGTGACAGATGTTAATAGTATTTTATCTACATACAACCACTCTATAATGTTAATGTAATTTTAGTTTCTATATCAAGACACCCGTCCCTGAACTTTATCTTATTAAAAGATGGACTGTACTTTGTATATACATCAATAATACTTTCTAATATGCCACCATATCCATGACAGTAGAATATTCTTCTGGTCCATTCATGTACCAATATTTTAGTCTTGAAGTGAATGTCAAAATATTTCCTTTATAACTTTTTTTAAAAATAGAGATTACGGGAAGGAATATGTAGATTATCATAACCTACATAGCTTTTTTCAGTTAATAATATTGGGGGAAATCATACTGCCAAAAATTTCTCAGGTTTGTTCAAATCGTCATTCAATATTATTTATGAAAGATTGTTGAGAGAGAAAACAAAGTTCTTTCCATTTCCACAATAGTATCAATAACAAAAGTATTTTTATTAATCAATAATTTGTTTTTTCATCTTCTGATGGGCAATCAAAATGACATAAACCAAATATAAGAACTTCCTCTATGGGTTCATGCTAGAATAGAATCAACACGGTATTTGAAAGCATAATATAGGCTTTTATTCGGGACTCTGAAAGATACACGTTTCCTCCACAAAGTCCTGGGAAGAAAGAATTCAACTGATTATTAACCATGTCTCTTCATTCTTATATCAAGTTAGTCCACAACAAGCTGCATTCTTTGGCTATATTGCTATAACTTCTCATCCCCCAAAATGCCTGGACAATACTATATTTTAATTAACTATAGTAATAAATATGGTCAATATAAGAAACAGTCATGTGGAAAATATTCTGTGTCTTTTATAAAACTACTATGGAAGATACTAACCTTTTTGATTCAATGTGCTTTATATTAAGAATTCATGGGACACATTACTTAGTTTCTATGTAAAAGCCATCATTTTTTTAAAGGTAATGAAAGCCAAGTAATTCATTATGTTTTCCTTTTTAATCTTGACTTCTTGGAAGCTCAGAATTAAAATACTGTATTTAATTACTTCTCTAGCCTAGGCTTTCTTGATAAAGTATCTTCTCATTTTATTCCAGAGACCTTATTACTTTACTTTCATGCTTCCATTTTATGTTTATTTTCAATAACCAAAAATCATCTTTGAATGTGGGGGACAAGGAATAATAAAAAAAATCCTTATCCTCTATTTCTATTAAAAGATCTCAGAAGAGTTTATAAATAAAAACACTTATATTAATTATTCTATTGAGATAGGTATAATTATGCTAATCTTGCAGAGCAAGGAAACTACTAATCACACTATAAAACTTCTAGAAAATAATTACTGTCAATGATGCTACTTAGTTCTTTTTTTTGAAACAAATAGTTTGTTTCTGTTTTTGTAGTCATTATTAGTAAAATATAAAAGTATAGGGGAAATGGAAGAGTGATGGACAGGGAAAAGAGTCAATATAAAAGTCATTTAGGAATAAGAAATTTTAAAATGTTAAGTAACATTACATCAGTTTGACTTCAGGGCTCAGGAAAGCAGTATCCCGTAGCAAAGAAAACACATTCTCTGAATCACAAGTTAGATACTCATTAGCTGTCTGACCTTTGGAAAGCTATTTAATGTCACTCACTTGTAAAATGAGAATAATTATAACCTTTCTGTGAAGAGTGAATGATATAAATGCCTAGCATAATATAATAAATATTCAATACGAGATAGTCATTATTATTATTACTGTAACTATTCTCATTACCCTGAAGCCAATACCCTTGGTTCTAACTCTTAGATCAGAGCTCCCTGGGCTCAGTGGGAATTCTGGTGCTACTGAGTTTCTTGGACTTAGAGTAGGCTGAGAAATGAATATCAAAGTACTTTCTCATTATATGGAATGTAAAAAGAAACAAAGAGAATTATCCTTCCAAAGAGACAGAGAAACTTTCTCATTATCACACTTTTCTAATCCTATAATCAGGAATAGAATTCTAGTATAGAAAATTAAGATAAGCCATCCTGGAATCAGAATGAGTGTGGGAGAAACCTTAATACAGTTGCCTCACACTTTAGTAAATAAATGATATATTAGGAGTTAGTGAAAAAGGATAATGAGTTTCCTGGGCTCCTAGAGGAAGTGAAAGTCCTATTGGAAATATGGTGGGTTACTTTAGAAAAGTTTTACAATAATTACAAAATATAATTCAAAAACTTAAAAAAAATAAAATAAAATAAACCATCCTATGCCAGGCACTGTGCTAGGCAACAGACTATGTAGTGGAGGACAAGGAAAATATAGTTGCTGCTTTCACAGGGTTTATTCCAATGGTTAAAAAGAAATAAAAAAAAAAAAAGAAAAGAAGAAACAATATAGAATAATAGAAGGGATAAGTGCTATGAGACAAACCACTGGCTGGGGGCAGCAGTAGTGAGGAACAGTGTATAGAGTGATCAAAGAAGGCCTCTGGAAAGGTACAAAAGGGCCAGCCATGTTGAAGGGTGGAGGGAATCATTTCTGACAGAGAGAATAGTAGGATCAATAGCTCCAAGGCAGGACAGTTTAGAAATGTTCTTGGAATTGAAGTCAGGTTGGTATATCCAGTCAAGGATGAAGGTAGAATCAGATGAGGTTAGAAAGAAAAAGAGGCCCTTACCAAGCAAGGCCTGATTACCAGGTGAAATGGGAAACCATGAGATGGTTTGCAGCTTAAGAGTGATAGGAACAAATTTGTGTTTTCAAACATCACTGCAGAATGACTTGCTGGGAGAGGGTACGTGAGGAGGAGAGGAGCCAGTTAGAAAGCCACTGTCATATTTCTGATGCCAGATAGATGATGGGGTCTTAGACTAGGATTGTAGGAGGAGATGAGGAAGTGGGTATAATCAGGATCCTTTGGGGTAAGTAATCGCCAGGACTTGCTAAGGTACTGAATCTCAGGAGGGGATGCTTGAGGGAGGAAGCAACAAGACTTCAAAAAGCCTTTAGCTTTCAGGTTTGAAGATGACTATTTTCAAAAATTCACAATAAACATGTCCTGCTATTTTTAAGCATTTACTAATGGGGATTCAACAGTGATAAAAGAAATATTTCATTTCCATGTGTCCTTAGTACTTTGATTTCTTCAAGGCTGCTTATTAACTTAGTTATCTTATGTACATTTAGTTATTTTACTAGGCTATTAAATAAAATTTGGTTTGTATAGTATATGAAAAAATGGATATTCAGCATGTCAATATATTTTATAGAATGCTTCTTAACCTTATTTTGAGTAGAAATGGAAATTCAGTTGATTTGCTTCCACAGTTTACTTTTTTTTCCAGGTTGCCAAGTACTTCAATTTCTTTTAAACAAAAAAGACAAAATATACATTCATTTAGCAAATCAAACATACTGTCATGCTGTATCTGTGATTCCCTCACTGCCTTTCTGAAATACGATTTAGATATTTTTATTAGATGCTATAGAAAAATCAATAACTGTCACAGTTGCCTAAGTTGTTTTAATAAATAGTAATACAGTTCTAGAAATTCTTTCTCTTCTTCCTCCTTGCCTCACACTTCTGGTCCCAGCTGGTGGACTTGGGACATGTTTATGCTCTTAGGGGGATGGTGTCACATCACCTAATTAATCAGATCATTTATTATGAGGATTTCTAAAATCTAAGCCAATTAGATATGGTTAAGAAATAATACAGAAGAATTTGAAAATCACTCAGTGGATGCTATTTTGGGTGAAACAGGCACAAGCCAAGATATGAGAAGCTTTATGTGGTGTGGTTATAATACATCTTTAAATTGCGTAGTATATTTCTTGCAACACATTCTCACTTTTAGAAACCCAAGTGTGCTTCCCATTGTTCCTTTAGCAGACAGCAATTAAAGTTTGTAATGCTTATTAGAGGTCATGCCCAGAGATATCAGAAGATAAAAAGTAATGTGGTCTTTTTCAAATTTAATTTTAAGTATAGCAAATACATTTTTTCTGTTCCTCAATTTTATTATTTTCAAAATATCAAAATAATATTTTATATATAATTTAATATACTTTTTTAATCTATAGGATTTCTGATAAATACTTTTCAATTTTGTCATATATAACATGTTTTGGGTGGGTCTTTTTGTAGTTTTAGTTCTGAAACATCTTGTTTCCTAAGCACAAGAATAAGCTGTGTTCTTAAGGGTTAAGAGAATATAAAATTGGGTCATATTAACATGTGCTTCATTCATATTGGAAACTCTGGTGATTTGAATCCATGTTTCTAGGGGCAATCAAATACCCCTTGCTTCAGTAATAGAAATGTTAAAAAAAAAAAAACTCCTCAAAAGTGGACATGAGAGAGATTTTTTTCCCATGATGGAAAGATGGGAAGAGAATGATCTTTCGCCTTTAAGGCAGCCTGCTTGCTTTTTATATGTAGATTGTTATCCAGTATGGAATATATTTTATAAGATATTACATTTTGTTTAGGTAAAATTAGTTGTATAACATACAAATATGTTAGAATTGATTTTAAACAGTTATTCACGATGATTCATTTGAGGAGAATGATCATTCAAAAGTCTTTGCTTTTAATATTCATATCAACTTAAAACAAATAAAAAGAATAGATCCAGGGCAAGGTAGTTTTGTTACAGGTAAGTTCATCATAAAGTCCTAAATTTGTTCATTCTAGTAAAGACTGTGGGTTTCCCCAATATGTAAAATATAGGACTCTCATAACTTTAATATTGTGAATACATTTGCTGCCTTTCAAATTTTATTGTCTTGAGGTACCAATGATTTCACTTACCTTTCTACAAAAATTCCAGCTTGAACAGCATGTACAATGCTCCGAAATTTTGGTTTTTCCTCGGGTTTCTTTTTTGTCATCCCCATTTTCCGTGTAAAGGTAGAAGCCAACCAGTCTCGAACTTCCGATGGGACTGCATCGGACTGAATGTCACAGAGCTCATCATCCGTATCCAGCAGTCTTCTACAAAAATTTATGCAGATTAAACATTAGAAAAAAGTGAAGGCAAACTAATAATAAAATATAAGCATTGAAATGGAATTTAAAAGATAGCAAATTACTCCCTTGTTATCCCTTAATAAGAGCTATTTAAAGAAAGAAAAAAAATTGTTAACATTTGTAAAGCTCTTAATTTCTCAAATTGACCATCTTTTGAAGGCAAGAACTAATAGACTTAAGCATTTGCAGCTTTCAGTACAATGATACCAGTCTAGAGGTATCAATTGTTAGTATCATTAATATATTATTCTAATAATGAATAAAACTAAGAAAAGATGTGGAAGAGAATCCATAAACACACATCTGCTACTAAAGGAAGCAATGGAAGTAGAAAGGCAAAAGAGAAATTGAATCTATAATAGCTGTCACATATTTAATAATATTATATACATAATATGAATAGTACATTCTATTTGAATGAGGCTTTGGAATTTACAAAAGTCATTCACAGGTGCTATTTTATTGGATAAATATTTCTAGATTTTAGGAAAATAATAATTTAAGTACTCTAAAGGATAATCATTCTGATATTAACATTGAAGATTTAAAAAGTTAAAAGATGAAAACACTTGAAAATAAATGGATTATTTCAAAAGCTCATTGCAGGTGACCGAGACTGTTTAAGTGGAAGAGACATTTCCAGTTCAGAGAAAGTGCTGTTTTGAGGGTAGAGAGCTGATGGGTTTAGAACTGCTGGACAAGAAAATCAACCCAAGAGTGAGGCGGTGAACAGGAACTGGAACCACTATCATATTCCTGTAAAAACCCAAGGTAGACTGGACTGACCAGTATAACAGCAGCCATTAAAGCAGGAAAGGAAACGTCCTTATTTTAAGGCCGCTCATCTTCAGTAATCAAGAATTTCCTAAAGGTCTGAACTGGTAAGATCCTGTGAAAGGCTCCCCACCAAATACAAAAATGGCTTTCCAGAGCTGTCAAACTTTGCCTCCAGGAAGAACACAGGCCAGGTCTGCCTGTCATTTGCTAGTCAGAGCTCTTTTTGGCATACTTTAGCTTTGACCTGTGGGTTTCATTTGCTTTGGTAAATCTCTTTGCACAGAATGAGGCCTAAGGATTATGAGCCAATGGAGGGAAGGTAGCCAGAGGTAGCTTCCCATGCTAAGGCCTCAGGGACAAGTCACAGGCCATCTCAAGAACGCAGGAACCAAACAAAATGGCAAAAAACCAGGAGGCCCACCCAAAGCACCCAATAAGACCAAGGCCAAAGAGAGGCTCAAAAGATAATATGCAGAAGAGTAAATCTTAATGTTCCTTTAAAATTTAAAGTTTAAATGACCTCCCATATGTTCTGTTGTTTTTTTATAAACATGTAGAAGACAGCCATTTATAAATATTTATTTTTCGTGGTAATAAGCATGAATGCATTTATGAGATAACTTATAAAAAATAAACATAAATGCTGGAGTTACAAAGCTAAATGTATACATATGAAGATCAAGAAGATTTACAGATTTGGATGTTAATACTGATTAATACTTACTGTATACTAGTTTTAACTTTCTTTGGGGTCTTAGATTCTGATACTTTTGGTTTACCCTTACAACACTGAAATAGAAAATTAAAGCATAATATATTTTTTTCCTTTTTGTCCATTTTAAATTAGATTCCTTAGCCCATTTCAGCAAGTTACTAAACTACATGTCTTGAAAATTTCACTACTTTAAAGATGATGCCATATCTATTATTCTTATGCAGTGATCAAATAAAACTACAGAGCAGGACAGTTGGAATAGGAATCATTGTGGTGTAATCCTGTGATGTCACCATGCTCCAAGTATTCCACTGCTGCCTTGTTTTATCAGCAAATCTGACTAGAATGACCGACATGCTATAATGGTTGCCAACTCCTCCTCAGCAAATTTGATGCTGATGACTTAGGGCATATGTCCTAAACTCATAAATTATCCAAGACAGATCATCAAACATGACAAAATCAGCACACGGAAATGATAGTTCACATACAGGTATGGTACCCAGGAGACTAGTAATCCTTAGCCATGATGTATGGTGTCATTTACTGAGAAGGAAAGAGCCTATAATCTCAGGGGGAAACAATGATATGGATTAATTAGTGGATAGGAATAAAGGAAGAGAGTGTGTAAAGAGAAAAGCATGAAATATGCTATTGTATAACTTAAAAAGGGAATCTTGAAAAAGCAACAAATATTTCTGTGATGTTTAATTTTATGTGTCAACTTGGCTAGGCTATGGTGCCCAGTTGTTTGGTCAAACACCAGTCTACTTTCTTTGTTGTGAAAGTATTTTTTAGATGTGATTAACATTTAAATCAATAGACTTTGAGTAAAGCAGATTACTCTCCAAAATGTGGGTGGGCTTCATCAGATCAGTTGAAGGCCTTAAGAAAAGAGGTCTCCCAAAGAGGAAGGAATTCTGCTTCTAGACTGCATTTGGACTCCAGATTGAGATATTGACTTCTGCCAGAATTTTCAGCCTGCCAGTCTGCCTTGCAAATTTCAGACTTGCCAGCCCCAATAATCACACAAGCCAATTCCTTAAAATAAATCTCTCTCTCTCTCTCTCTCTCTCTCAATTTCTGTGTGTGTGTGTGTGTGTCCTATTGGTTTGGACAAGAAAGAATATTTCCACTCACTTATGAACACTCTGTGCTAACTACCAGTATGGGTTATAAATAAGATAGAAGATAAAAGCTCAGCTTTCTATTAATATTTATTTAATAGAGCATATCAATTCTATTTCTGGTACAAAAATTTTATTTGCAATTGACTAAACACCATACTATGTAGACATTGCAAAATTGTCAACTTATGGAGTGATTACAAATTGAAAAAGTTAGAATGGTGCCTTCTTATATAGAATTTATATCCTAAAAGACAGAGACTAAAAAGAAATAGGGAGGGTGACATAATGAAATTAATTATGACAGGAAACACTACTTTAGATAAGATGGCCAGGGAGTTAAGACCTGAGGAATAAGAATGAATTAGATATAGGAAAGGCTGGGGGAAGGACATTCCAGACAGAGAAGAGCAAGTGCAAAGGCCCTGAGGTAGGATCAGTATTGATGTGTTTGAGGAACAGAAAGGAGGTCAAATGTGGGTGGAGTATCCTAAGAGAGAGGGATAGGGAGTCGATACAGGAGACAAACATAGGTAAAATCAGCTACTATCAGGCCTTAGAAGGATTTTGTCATTTTTGCAATGGAAAGTCATTCAAATGTTTTTAATTGACGTGTGATATGATTTATGTTTCTAAAAGGCCACTCTGTGTGCTGTGAGAAGAATAGAATAAATTGTAAAAATGAGGTTTTGAGCTCAATTAAGAGCCTTAACTGAGCACAGTTGCAAAATGCTCTTTTATCCTAGAAGTTCAATGTTCTCTAAGCCTTAATTGGTATTGAGTTGGGCATCATTTTTCCTGTACACATCATGCCCTTTTAATGTATGGGTCAAAGCATTGGTGGGATTTTACTCACGTTTTCTCAGATAATAACTACTATTTTTTCTGTTCCATTTGTTTGGTTCTCTTCTTCAAGGAAACAGATTATGACCATCAGGGGTCTCTTTTATCCAGTTTCCATATCTATTGTTTTTAACAAACAGTCTTTGTCCTTATCCTGTTTTATTAACTTTTTTCCTTTTTTATATGTATGTTTTCAGTAATGTCTCTTTTAAAATTTGAGGCTTTGAGTGTGGCTTTCTCCCCTGGATGGTCTCATCTTCCTCCTCCATTTGCTTACTGAGTTATGTGTACCTATTTTTCACCTCCTTCTATTATCATATGATTTCTCTCTTAAGCCATTGTGTGTTTGTATTAAATTTTTTAATTTTTTTCTACAGAAGTGACAATTTTTAAATTCTTGACTTTACAGGACGAGCTCATAGATTTGCACATTCCTGTGGCATGGGTTCTTTGTCATGTGTTTTTCCCTATCCCTTTCCACCTTTATTCTTGTGGTATTTTTGTATGGATTCTGTGATGGTTCCTTTTTGGGCTCATCCTTATATGAGGGAACTTCTTTCTGGATAGGAAGGCTGAAGGGAAGGACCAAGAGAATGTGTGTGGCAGACAAGAAGTAAATCTGGGCAGGTGTCTGGATGTGTCTCCGTGTGTCCAAGAACTGGCTTAAATTTCCCTTCTTTTTAGCTGACAGAAATACATAGCTATGGGTCTATTTCTCAAAGATTCTTCTCTGCTCTGCAGCACAGTTGTAAAAGTGGCCTATGAGGACCTTCATCCGCCTGTGAATCCATCTCTGCTACTCCAGAGTGTTAGATGGAGGAAGCCTCCACAGCCAGGCGACATACCTTGACCTTTTTGTTATGGGCAAGGAGTTTCTGTTTTTTCCTTTTAGAATGAGTGTCCTTTTCTAGAGAAGTCTGAATTCTGCTCTCCCTGCCTGAGATCCACAATCTTGGGCACCTTCTTCATTTAAAAAAAAAAAAAATCAATAGTTTTTTTTAGAGCAATTTTATGCTTACAGAAAAATTGAATGGATAGTACAGAAAGTTTGCATACATCTCCATCTCTACCTCTACCTGCAGTTTCCCCCATTGTCCATGACTTATATTACTATGGTGTATTTATTTCAATTGATGAGCCAATATTGATACATGATTATTAATTAAAGTCCATAGTTTACATTAGCAATCACTTGTTATGTTGTATATTCTGTGGATTTTGAGCAATGTATAATGACATGTATCCACCACTACAGTATCAGACAGAGTAGTTCCACTGCCCTAAAAACTCCCTGTGCTTCACCTACTCATCCGTTCTACCTTCCCTACTTCCCAGTCCCTGGCAACCATTGATCTTTTTATTGTCTCCATAGTTCTGCCTTTTCCAGACTGTCATATACTTGGAATCACACAGTAAAAGGCTATACCTTTTTAGATTGGCTTATTTCACTTGATAATATGCATTTAAGTTTTCTCCATCTCCTTCCATGGATTAATAGCTCA